AATAACTGGAGCACCGGTATTGAGATGTTTCCATGGTGACTAAAACGATCATGGCGTCCTTATTTTATAAGTCCTTAAAAGTGGACTTGATTATGTATCGGTCGAATAGAGGGCGTATGGATCGATCCTAGGAACCGTTATCAGATATTGAATTGTGGCCGTGGTTAAATTCACGGAGAGGATTGTTGTGTTGTGTTCACACTCCTTTCCTCACTTGTGCCTGAATGGACTGATCATCCTTTGGGAACAACGCATCCTCGTGATGTAGTTTGGTCTTCGGACCCTTGATATGCTTTTGGGGTATTTTGACTTTCTTTTGGGTTATCATTTGGCGTTATAAATTGCTTTTGAACTTGTTATATCATATTCATTGTTTAATTATTATTATCCGTTCACTGAGCATTAAGCTCAACCGAGATCTTCTTGTCCTCGGCAGGTACATGACTTAGCAGGGATTTTGGGATGAGCGCTACGGAGATGACAATATTGAAGATAACCCATTAAGTCATACTTTTGTTAAACTTTTGATGACTAATATAGACATGTTATTTTGGGACCGTATTTTGAGACATGTTATCTCTGTTTGTGGTTATGTAATTATTTTTTGATAAATTTTATTAGCCGCTCTGTTTTATATAGCACGTTGTTTGTTTTATTCCAATTGTGGCATCTCCCGTCTTTGACCACGCGGGACGGGGGTGTTACATAAACTGATTCATATGAACTGTCACCCGGTTTATGTAAACCGGACACGTTATGAGCGATTTAGAAATAAATCGGGTAAAGATCGAGCGGTTTATGTGCAAACCGGTCAAGGGCTAAGCGGTTTAGTCTTAAACCGGACATAGGTTCATTCGGTTTAATGTTAATCCAATCAAGTGTTGGCCGGTTTATGAGTTGAGCGATTTATGAACTTTGAATTTATGTTAAGTATATTTAACGGAGAAGTAGGAATATGGCTATGAGATGACCAGATTATTTTAAACGGATAAGTTATCCGGATTGTTAAATCGAACACGAAATGAATAGTATCGTCTGGATTAGTAATCCATACATGATTTTGAGAGTTATTCTAAGTGACAAATCGGACAAAATGAGGAGTTGACCAGATTAGTAATCCGGCCAAGGTTTGACCGGATGTATTTTGACTTATCATTTTATTGATCTATTTACAAGAAATGAGAATTTTTGATAAATATAATTTTAAACTGATAAAGTTCCATTAACTGCGGTCTATTCTATATGGAATTGTTTTGTGAAATATTTTGATGGGGAAATAAGGGTGGCATATCAAGGAGAGGTGTACCATGGGATAAGGGCGACATATCAAGGAGAGATGTATATTTGGATATAAGAGTGACATTTGTATGTGTGTTATGTAATATAACTCTTACTATTATATCCTTTAAGATTACCGTGGTCTGGAATCTTTATTTCTTTGTGATTTAAAGGTTTAGGATCAGGGTTCTTATTGGAAATCATAGTCTGGATGTTATTGAAGAGGAGATAACAGGTTTGGCCTGGAACTTTTGAATAAACCTTATTTGACTTGAAAGGTTTAAAAGTGGCATCATGATAATCTGGTTAGTACAAACCTGTTTGGATTTGGTGTATTATTTGCAATTAGAGAATTTGGCTTAAAAAGTGAAAGGTATTGGTATCATGTTCTTGTTCATATATTTGTTATATATATGAAAAATTATTTTTCATAAAAAGTTTTGGTGATTATCACCCTGCAATAAGATAAATAGGGTAACTCACTAGACCTTTCGGTCTAACCCTCGTTTTGTGATTTTAACTATGTATTGCAGGAGGTTCGGACGGTAAAGGAAAAGGGAAAATTTGATATTTTCCTATATGCATTTCTACATGAAGATCTGTTTTGATGTACAGTTTTGATTGATTAGTACAAGATATGTATTTGAACTTTTGGACCTTGTATTCCGAATGATAGATTCTTGTACTAAGGGACCTGATTGTGATATAAATATGTATTTCTTTTGTATGAAATAGATGTTACATGCAATGTGTGTTATGGGGCGTTACAAGTCACTGTAAATTATTTCTAAGTTTAAATTCAATTTACTAATATAATTTTATTTCTAAATTTTATTTTATTTTAAGGTTAACTTCATTTTACCTATTATTGATATAGTTTCATTTCAAATACCCAAGTCTAAAGATTAGTGCAAGAATTGTATTTTGAATTTTCGGACCGTATATTTTGTAATGGTAAATTCTTGTACTAAGGGACCTATGTGGTGTACAAACATGCATTTCTTATGTATGAACTATATATTATATGCAATATGTGGAATGGGGTGTTACACAGTTGATCAAATAGTTCATCGATTCTTGGTAGAGGATACTTATTTTTAATTGTCAGTTTGTTCTATTCCCGATAATCAATGCACATCCGCATTGATCCATCTTTCTTCTTGACAAACAGAACTGGAGCACTCCAAGGTAAGGTACTAGGTCTGATGAAACCCTTGTCAAGAAGATCCTTCAATTGAGTAACTGATATATGTTGAGAATTCAATATATATAGCACTCGTTCTACTTATTATTAGTTAGATTAGTTTCCTTTTATCCCTACTTTGAGTAATTTTTATTAGTTTCTTTATACCTTTGTTATTATGGAGCTAAATCTTGTGGTTAACTTGTTGGTACTCAAAGGAGAAAGCTAATGGATATTTTTTTGCTTAACAACTTGATGCTACAACAATGGAGCAGCAACAATCTGATACGTACGAGGCTTTTTGAAGAACTTATTGATTAAGCTGCTGCCTTTTTGTGCTTTGTGGAAGACAGCTGGAGTGCAGACTTTTGATTAAAAATTTGTGGATAAAACTTTTATTAATATTATTGTATTAACTTGTACTTTAGATGCTCTTTGTGGGTATTACCCGTTGGGTAAAACTTTTGTTTTTCTGTGACTCCTTTGGGTATAAAAGGAGGTGCTTGGCTTCACTTTTGAGAATCCATCCAAAGCTAAAATCAGCTCTTTAAGGCTGATTTGTAGAAAACATTTGGAAGAAATCCAAGTTCTTGTTTTAGCTTTTCATCTTTAATTTCTTGTCTTTTAATTTCCGTTCTTTACATTACGTTTCTTTACATTTTCTAGTCATTTACATTCCATAATTTACTTTCTTGTCATTTATTTTCCCATCATTTATTTTCCGCAATTTACATTTATGTCTTTACTTTCCGTCATTTAC